GTCCGAACCCTGAGGGGCGTCGTTTGTAAGTTGGAGTGGCTGTCTTACGATTGCCAAAGCTAACCAGGTGTAGCTTGCGACATTGAGACCCATTTCCACAACGACACTGGCTGCAGTATCGCTAACGCGTACTGCGCCCTCGAGGCTGGTGCGACTCACATTGACACCAGCGTCCTCGGAAGTGAGTCAGGCCGTCCATGGTCCCCCGAACAACGTACTGACAGGCTACAGTTGGTGAGCGCAACGGTATCACCCCTCTGGGTGGTCTCCTTGCCCGCATGGTCGTGACCTCCCCCGACTATGTCAAGAGCAAGTACAAGCTCCACATGCTCAAGGAGATTGAGGACATGGTCGCCGAGGCCGTCGAGGTCAACACGCCCTTCAACAACCCCATCACGGGCTTCTGCGCCTTTACCCACAAGGCCGGCATCCACGCCAAGGCGATCCTCAACAACCCCAGCACATACGAGATTCTCAACCCCGCCGACTTTGGCCTTACCCGCTACGTCCACTTCGCGTCGAGGCTGACGGGCTGGAATGCCGTCAAGACTCGTGTCAGCCAGCTCGGTCTGGTCATGACTGATGACCAGGTCAAGGAAGTGTATGTTGACCCCTGCTTCAGCCCACGAATTGGTGTTGATACTGACTTTTTGCAGCACTGCCAAGATCAAGACGCTTGCCGATGTCCGGCCAATCGCCATTGACGACGCCGACTCGATCATCCGCAGCTTCCATCTGGGGCTCGCGGAGAAGGGGGAGGCGCCGCATCCCAACGGTGATGCGGCACCGGCGCCGGCGGTAGTCGCCTAGGTTTGTGCATTTGGGATTTCATAGTGTATCAGGGATATCGCATCATTTTTGGGCTGGGCCATATACCGGAGTTTTGTGCAGGACAGAGTCCTCTGATGGGAGCGTTGCAACCAAAAGTTTTGGGCATGTATTTGGAGAGCGGGTTAAAAGAACTGGCCGAGCAAAAGTTCTGAATGCGATTGTTTTGATGGACAGTTGGGTTAGTGATGCTACCTACTTCTCTGATTCAACTGGTGACTCAAAGGCCAGTTTGACCTTGCCACACCAACGAGCCCAAACTTGACCCCAAACAACCCCACGATCATGGTGATCATGGTGGTCGCCGAAGTCGTGGGTTGGGCATCCAGGCTTGTGGTGTGGGACACCTCGAGGGCTCAGGGGTCTTGATGTCCACCCAAAGAGGGGTCGAAAAACGACGTCATTGTGCATTTGGGTGAAATCTGCCACCACTGCCCGGTGGAAATCTCAGGGTTGCACATGAGCACACCAACAAGGGCCAGGCGTTCGTGCGACCGAGGGTTCAAAGGTGCTGGGTATGGGAAGATGAAATGTAAGGATGCCCAATTTACATCTGCGGCATCAACGCCGGGGAGATCAGCGCTGCTCGGGTATCGATGTGGCTGTTGAAGACCGTAAAGAGCGCCTCCTTCAGGCTTCAGTTACAGCGATGGCTTCTACCGACACAGGGGGAAGATGAGGTAATGCATTGCTGCCCCTGTGGTAACTGATTGTACGTGATGCACTGCATAGAGTAGAATGCGATGCTACGAGAAGGGTCTGCACACAAGATGCCTTGTGGTCGGCGTCACCGAGGACTCGAAGCAAACAGGCTGGAATCAGGCTGTTGACACAAACAAGTATGTCGAGGACGGGAGCACAAGAGGGGCATTTTTGTCATTTTTCGGTTGGTCCTGTTATTCGTTGGCTGCCCAGATGTTGAAGTTTCGAGCCCATCTCACTCATGAAGCGGTCTCGAGTCCAAGGTTGCATGGTGTTGCTCGAGGCAAGACATTGGATCCCCCCCTGATGGTCCAGTATTGATTCAGTCGCTGAAAATTCGCCGAGAAAATTCCAGCATCGTCCTCCGGGGGCGTCGTATCCAGCGGGGCATCGCCGGCAGTCCGGCGAATCAGAGGCACGGTCTCCGGCAGTGGCTGCCCCGACGCCAGAATGGGTCTGGCCTGGTTTTGATGCTTGGCTTCCTCCGAGTGGTCGGTGGGCCGTTTGGCTGCCTCCAACTGCGTCATCACATGGGGATATCTTGGTCGCGGGACCCTCTCCAGGTTCACCCGGGCTGGCCCCCCGTTTTCCCAGTCCCCACGACCCGTCCTCCCGTTCTCGACCCGATCAACATAACTTGCCGCCATCCTCCTTCAACGTACACACCACGACCTGTCTTTGGCAACCTTTTCCGCCCCCCTGCCCCCAAGCAATCTATCGTCTAGGCCCTGCCTCTGTGACCTCCCGTCTCCAGCCGAGACGACCTTGTTGAACGTCCCCCGCTGCCGCTACCCGCCACCATGGCCGCCCGCTCATCCGGCCCCGACTTGAGGGGTCCCGATCGCGGCGATCGCTGGGACCGCGACCGCTTCTTCCACGAGCAAGACCGTGACTCCCGCGACCGCGGCGGACGTTTCGACGATGACCGCCGATCACGGTTCGAGGAGGACGAAAGCTACCACCGTCGCGGCCCCGTCCCCCAACGTGAGGCTTCGGAGCGCCCGCGTCGCCGGTTCGTCGATGAGGACGACGTTGTCCTCCGCGAGAGAAGCGAAGTTAACTACGACGGACCCGAGTTCCTCCGCCGCCGTCCCTCCCCGCCCGGCAGCGAGATCGACCGCCGAATCTTTTACAAGCGAGAAACAGAGCGCGTGCGCAGCCCATCGCCGCCCCGACCCCGACGACCTGGCCAGATGGTGAGACGCCAGTCGAGCCTCGACACGTTTGACCGAAAGCCCACACGCTTCCACGAGCGCGAGTACAGCCCGCCGAGGAGAGGCGGCGACTACCGCGTGCCGCCTTACCAGCCGATTCCTCTCCCGCGATCCAAGGCCCTGCCGCCGCCGAGGGTGTATGCTGAACGGGACTTTTACGAGGAGATTGAAGTGTCGGATCCCCATCGCCATGGCGATGACGATTTCCACGGTCCTCCCGAGAAGGTCCAGGAGAGGGTCCACGAGAAGGAGACCGTCCACACCCGCCGCCGTCGGTCCGTCAGCCGCTCGTCACGCGCTCACCATCACAGCCACAGCCGGTCGCGACGCAGCAGGTCACGATCGTCGAGCAGCTCGAGCAGCAGCGGCGGGACGTCGCTGACAGCTACGACGAGGACAACAAGAACCACGAGCGAGTACCCGAAGAAGGGCAAGACCCGGATCCCTTCCCGGCTGGTGTCGAAGCGCGCGCTCATCGATCTGGGGTACCCCTTCGTCGAAGAGGTACGTGATTTCTCAAAGAAGTGGAATGGCCATGCTAACCATACCAGGGCAATGTCGTGATCGTCCAAAAGGCCCTCGGCCAGCAAAACATTGACGACCTGCTCAAGCTCTCTGAAGACTACAAGAAAAGTGCGCAGCACCCCCACCCCCTCCCGCACACTGTCACTCACCACCGACCAGGCGAGCTCGAAATCATGGCCGCCCGCTCCAGCGCCGGCGACGTCTTTGAAGAGCGCATCGTCGAAGAGCGCCACACGGAATACGTCAACGTCGCGCCACCACACGACCACGTCGACTACGTCCAGCAGCAGACGCACCCCAGTGGCGCCCTCGTCGTCACCGCCAGCCCGCCCGCTCCTCCTCCTCCGCCGTCCGTCGTCATGTCCGCCGCCCCGCAACAACCCACATACGTCGCCCAACCCCAGGCGCCGCAATACTTCGCCCAGCCCCAGGCCCCCGTCGCGCAGTATGCCCCCGCCGCCGGCGTCCAGTACGCCCCGCAGCCCACCGCAGTGCAGTACGCCCCGGAGCCGACGGTGCAATTCGCGCGCACGGCCATGGTGCGCGACGTGTCGCCCGCGCGCTCGTACACGACCACGTCGTACGAGAGCACGACGACAGGGACAAGCTCTACGGTCACGGGCCCCGTCGTCATCGACGCGTACCCCAAGCAGCAAACGCACTACCATCAGGCGCTGGTCCCGGCGGGAGGGCACGAGATTGTGCTCCCGCGCCGCAGGAGCCGCAGCCGGCACCACCGGCATGGGAGCCGGGATCTGATCAGAGCGGAGCGGCTGTCGACGGGGGAGCTGGTGCTGTATGAGGAGGAGGTGGAGCATGTGGAGCCGACCAGGGACGGGGTGAGGGTGCAGAAGGACAAGAGAGGTAGGATGTCTATTAGCGTTCCGAGGAATCGGTGATGATGTGTGTGGACTTTTTTCTGAGGGTCATTTTTGTGTGAGACGGCCTTGCTGACGTTTTGGGGTGGATAGGACCGAACCCTTCGTTGATGAAGGCCATGCTGGCTACGCTTACTTGAGTGTTTGGGGGTGGTTCGGATGCTTTTCGGATGGAATTTACACAGGGGGGGCTCATTTACTGTTGAAGAATGGATAGGATCGAATCGATGACTTATGAGCTATGAGATTTTCTTTCTCTTTCAGACTGGGGTTCGGCTGCACCGAGGTTTTAATGGCCATATACTCGATCGATACTGGCAATACGGGGCGAATATGGGGGAGCAGACAGGCTTTGGGCGGCGGACTTGTTCAATGCGCTTGCTTTGGACTGGGGTATTTGGCATGATAGGGCACGGAATATACACAAGATACCCAGTCTGGTAGTCTCTGCAATGTTCTGGATGCTGTCACCGTCCTTTCTGGACCGACGTGGATGGCCAGGGCGATCGTGTCAGGCGCCAAGGAGGAGGATCAGCGACAGCGACCCGGAGGATCAGGGGAAGTAAACAAAGCACTGTCTTCCGAAGGCTTGAGAGTTTCTTTCGACATGTCGATGATCAAAATCCCGTACTATTTTTTAGGCGACGCAACTTCCACATCCACAAGAGATCATGCAAAATGGGATTCATGATTGCATGTCACACATGATTGCAGCATGTCACAACACCACACCAAAATCTTTCGAGTCAACGTCAGGCCAGACATGCCCCAGGGGCTCCATCATCAGCCCACGATCCACTTGGACTCCAAAAAAAAACACTCGCTTCAACAATGCAGAGCGCAAAAATATCGTTGACAACTGTGAGATTCGAACTCACGCCCCTTTCGAGAATGCAAATCTACCCCATTAATTGAGGCAAGGAGAAATCCTTGAGTGCATCGCCTTAGACCAACTCGGCCAAGTTGCCTGACAAGTTGATGAATGAATGACTCGGCACAAGGGGTTGATCACGGAGGCCGCTGCATCCGCACCAAAATTGGTTGCTGGTTCCAGCGGGCCGTGCCCTGTTTTTTTAGCGGCTCAGGCACTGAGGTGCAGTGGGCGCTACCACTGCAACCAAAACCTGGAACATGCGCCATTCAGTTCCATTCCCAAGTTTTGCCCCTATTCCCAACATCACTCCCTTCAATCTGAAGTTGACCAAATCGCCAACCCGGTTTCCCCCCAACATTCCTCCTGCATTCCTCACCGTCTCCCCCTGCCACCAGCCAACAGCAAGCCTCGAGCAAGCCACACAATGCAGCCCGTCAGCGCACCCAATCACCGCCCCCTCCTCGCCGTGCGAGCCGGGGACCTGGCTGCTGTGTAACGAACCCTGGAAACATGACACCCGGCGAGCAGCCCGACGCGATCACCGACTCTTCCTCTTCCTCCTTCCCACCACCACATCCCCCATCTCACAATCGTGCCCGGCCCGCCCCAAGACTCCCTCCCTCCCCTCCCCTCCCGACCTAACGACGTCTGCGTCTGCGACTCGGCAGTAGTTCCAGCGTTCGCCATGGTCCAAGGGTTCCACCACCACCATCCCGACACCGCCCCGCAGTTCCCCGGGGGGTGGCACAACGACATCACCACCGCCTCCTCCCAGCAACAGCACCACCAGCACCACATACCCCAGCCGCGATCGGCGGCCCCGGCCCCTCCGACCCTCCTCCCGACCCTCGCCCCGGCACCGAACCCCCCGCCCCCGGCGGGCGGCACCGAGCACATCGACACCGACCTCCACCGGCACCACCTCCGGCAGTGGCACAACCGCATCCGCAAGAAGTACCGCACCAAGCTCAGCACGCAGTTCGAGCGGCTGCAGGCGCTGGTGGTGGTGCCGGCGCTTGACGACGACGAGCAGAATGCGGCGGACGGGGGGCGGCGGGTGGACGGGCGGAGCACGAGGGGGATGAACAAGGCGAGGGTGCTGGAGCTGGCGAGGAGGAGGATTGAGGAGTTGGTGAGGGAGGCGGAGGAGATGGCGAGGGAGAAGGGGAGGTTGGAGGGCATGATGGGGGGGAGGGCGGTGAGGGCTGGAGGGGAGGGGGGGTGTTGATGGTGACTGGAGGGGGGCGGGGGTAATGGGGGTAATGGGGGGATGGATTGGGGGGGGGTGCATCTTGTTTCTGAACAGATGTCAAAATGCCCCAGTCTTCCGCGATGACCTCTTTGGTGTATTTGCATTTTACGGCATATTACGGCATATTCTTGCCTCGCAGCCAGTCTGGGGCGCAGCCCAGATAACAACTTACCATCCGAATCCCAAATTGCCAACCTCTCTTCGCTACTTTGAAGGAAACCGCATCCGCCACGCCAAAATAGCAGGCAGCTGGGTATAATTGACGCTCGATTCGACCCGCTTGGGATCAAAGTCCGCTTCGGTGAACGCCAACTCCTCCATACCGTCCAGGACCATGCCCGTCTTGAAGAAGGTCGTGAAGAGCTGGTCCATCGGTCGGTGGAAGTAGATCTTGGTTCACTCAACATTCCAAATCCACAACTGACACCGGGGCGAGGTAAGTACATACCTGCTTCTCGGGCTGGTCCGCCGTAGCAATGCCCTTGTACGGTGCGACGTGCAGGTACTCGGTGATGACCTTGCTGCGGATGACCTCGAACTCGCCCGTGACTGGGTTGTCCTTTATCTCGATGTTGCGCGAGGCGTTGGAGGTGAAGAAGACGGGGTGCAGGACAGTAGCGACGAACCTGTTCGACATCATGCGTGAGCCCGGGGTCAAGAGCATGGCAAGATGAACTCACACTCCATCCTCGGCCAGGAGCAGGGGAAGCGCCTTGGCCAGCGGCTCCAGCGTCGCCACGTCCATGATGGCCATGTTCATGAGGATGACATTGAACCCTCCGAGGTTCTGTTCTCCCTCATTCGAGGTCAGCAAGCGGTGGACCCATCACCTGCCCGTCCCTGAGGCAGAAACAGACAAAGAAAGACTCACCGCCCCCCTCTCCCTCGCAACCAAACCCTCCCAATCCTCCTCCACCGTAACATCCAACACCCTCCACTCCACCCCCTCCCCGCCCTCATGCGCCTCCGCACCCCTCAGCATCTCCGAGCTTCCATCCGTCGCCACCACCGCTGCCGCACCCTGCGCCTTCATCCACCGCGCGCAGAGCCCGTTGCCCGTCGCCACATCCAGCGCGCGGCACCCCGGCTTCGCGAGGTGCGCGCCGAGCATCCGGCGCAGGCACGGTTCCTGCAGCACGCGCCAGTACCTGTTGCCGTCGCGGCCGATGCCGGCGTCCCAGTGAGAGGCAATGGCGTTCCATTTGGAGAGGGCTTCGGCGGCGAGGGAGGGGTGGGACATCTTGGGGAGTGCTGGGGTGTGTGGCAGATGTTATGGTGGTTTGGGTGGGAGTTGAGGAGGGTTTGCCGGGACGGGGTGGTTGTGGTGGGGTGGACTGTTTATATCCCCAAACTCTAGGTTGCCCGTTTGGAATGTCGAAAGGCTTGCTGTAGGTAGTAGATATGGGGGCTCGGCACGGCGGCATTGTCACCCTGCCCGGCTTTGTCTGGCCGTGTGACTCAGGCCGATTGCCTGTAGTAAGGCAGTAGCGGTTAGGGTGCCACACCAAGTTGCTATATCTCATCCAATGGGGCTCTTGGAACCTGCAGATGGACTCTGGAGAGAGCCGAGAGCCACATCAATCCCGATCATCTGGTCAAGAATCATTGGCGGAAGTTTTCTTTTCGTGAGTGGAAGGAGTAACCACCAAATTTATCACCTGTCAACACCTCGAGAGCAAAAAGATGAACAAGAAATATTTCTGGACGCCCGGGTTCGAACCGCATACGGTTCGCCATGATGTCACCGCATTTACATACGAAGCTGGCCAGTGGGAGGGCCGGGGAAGACCGGGGAGGCACTGGAACTTAGAACGAGCTGACAACACTACATTCCATCTCCTTGCCGGCGCTGAATATCAAAATCGATACACGTAATCGGCCTCTTTTCCGAAATGCCCGGCACTGTCGTGTCCTGGACCCGAGCCGTAACAACCCACTCTCGCATCAAGAGTTCAACCACCTCGGTATCCCTCCCTGGTCCCATGTATGATTTGTCCACCAGCCAGGGCGCAGGACTAAAGAACTCCCAGGGGTATTCTTTGGACTCGGAGACTGCCGTTGCCGCCCGTTCAAGTTCCTGGCCAACTGCATCCTCCGGGTCCACGAGGAATACCGGATTGCCTCTCCAGTGCAGGTGAATGACGACGAATATCTCGACTGAAATCGACTGAAATCGATTGAATCCTACATGTCGAGGCTGGTACGTTATCGTGACCCTGAACGGTCGGTACCGAGCGGCAGTGTCCCAGCCCATAAGGAGTGTCCGCCTGGGCTCATCCCACAGGTCAGGGAGGATGGCCTCGACGCCCGCCCCCGAGGCGAAAAGACTTTGCCCTCGGACAAAGTGTATGTCCGGCTCACTGTTGTAGTTGCGGAATTCCCGGTAGAATCTTCTCTGCGGGAGGAGACTTGGATCGTCAAGAATCCAGAACGGGAGAAATCTCTCCTCGGCCTGGAGCCATACCGGGTGGTATGGCTTCACTGGCATCCAACCGTCGCATTCCTCATTGTCAAAAACAAGTCGCTTGTTCGGCGGGCCTCCCACATCGCGGACAAACATGAAGGGCCCGAACTTCCGCAGACGTATGCCGACCGACGTGTAGATGTCGTCGTCTTGATCCGGAATCCCCTGAGAAAACTCCCGCGGCTTTGGCACGGCCTCACACCTGAGATCGAGGACGTAGCACACACCCGGGATCTTCATGAGGCCCCTGGCCACCCGAACCCCCTTGCTCGAGATTTCGATCTGGTTATTGAACTGCCCCCGAACCTCGATGCGGACCTTGCCCCTGACGATCCACGAAAACTCGGCGGGGGTTCGCGCCCAGATTTCACGAATCTCTTCCTTCTTGGGTGGTCCATCAGGGGACCAGGCGAGGAGACTCAGGTCGTCCGTCTTTTTCAAAACTGCCTCCTGCAGTCGGCGGAAGGCCTTGCGGCCCTCGCCGTAGAGGAGGGGCATGTGTACGTCGAAGAGCCCCAAGAGACAGTACGCCATGTCCTCAACCCGCGTTGTTTTCCGCATGGCCGCCCATGACATCTTGGTTGCCACGGACAGACAGTAGATCTCGTCCGGGTTGAGGAGGACCTCCTGGGGAATGGAAGTGATGTCTGCCACCCAGTCAAGGAGCGTGGTTTTGGTGCCGACTTGGTTCCAGGCACAGTCGTAGAAATGGACTTCGGCCGGCGCTACCAACTCCTGCAATGTCCATCCCCTTTGAAACCACCGGCATGCAGCAAGGCTGTCTTTGGAGAGGTCGTCTTGGGTTGTCGATAGGTCGGAGAGATAGACGTAGCAGACACTGGCCTCCTCGTACCAGCGAAACATGGAGTTGATGGCCTCGGAGAGCTCGGCGCTGCTGGTCTTGTCGATGCAGCAGGTGTCAATCCAGATATAGCGGTAGCCATCGCCAAAGGCGAGGTTGCAGGCCCCGTCGATCTTGGCAAAGTCTTTTGTGGCCTCTTTGGGCTGCCTGGCCAAATCTTGGAGAGTGACTTCGTCACCGCCCCAGGTGTGTGAGAGAATGGCATAGGTCGGGACATCGTCCATGAACTCCTTGAGTTCTTGCGTTTCTGTGTCGAGCAAGCGCATGGTTGCGGAGAGTTGAGTGGCTTGTTGAGCTTGAGATGGGCAGACAAGAGTGCTGCCTATTTTTGCCATCGAAGGATTAAGGGGGGGGCGTCGTCCCCCGCATTTCGGACAGTTCTAACTCCCATTGCAATCCAATACTGGTTTGTTTGTTAGCGCAAGACCTATTGCCAAGGAAACCAGACCTCTCCTACAAAACGAGACGCCTCCAATTCCGACTTCAAGGCATATCCAGTTCCATTTCTAGGCCTAA